TTAGAATTTGTCATCTTGAAAATCGCCAAAACAGAAGTATGACTTACTACTTCGTATATTCACACACACACACACACATACATACACACACAAACACACACACACACACACACACACACACACACACATACACACACACACACACACACACACACACACACACACACACACACACACACACACACACACACACACACACACACACACACACACACATACACACACACAATGGATCTTGGAAACAGTAGCACCTCAGGCTAAGAAAAGAACATCGGGCAATCATTCCATGAAGTCCAAGATATCTTCCTCCTCCCCATTATCAGCTCGTATGCCAAGCCCATGTAGCATTTCTGGCATTGTTGAAATAACGATGATGAATAGGAAAAAAAAACACCATCTCATTGTTTGGTGTTTGCCTCATCTATTCAACTCAGACACAATCTGGTGAACGATTGATACCTATTTCACCCAACTGCGCTCTAAAGTTGTACAAAAGTGACCACTAATGCACTGCCTGAACTTGAAAGGCCTTTGAAAGTGGGTGCAAGTGACGCCCGAGGATTAGCTTCCCCGAACGTGCCTTGAACACGATCTGGACGAGAGAGTATTTGCAAACTGCTTTTTCTCAATCGTTACTCTTTTCCTCCTTGTGGATAGGGTTTGATGAAAGAAGTTTGCAACATGTTGTGTTTTTAAAGATAGATTTGTTGTTGTTTTATTTCAGTTTTTTCTCTTTCTCTCCCGTTCCTTTGTTGGTATTTTTACATAGCTTCCTTTGTTTGGAAATATTTTCCTGTTGCACCCTTACTGTACCCTAGTTGCAAAAAGTACTTACAACACAGTCCCTCTGGACACACAATAATAATACGTTGATACATCTAATGTGTCACTTTTAAATAATAACAAAACAAAAAAAAAAGAAAGAAAAAATCTGAATATTGATTCTACGGGACTCCATTGGTACCTTTTTTTAAAACCTTTCTTTAAACTGTAGAACCCTTTTCGCATTATAAACCTTTCCCCTTTAACCAAATAACCCAAATCCTCCACCGCAATGAGAACAAAAGGCTAAGAATATTTAATGAGGAAATGAAAGGGCCCCAAAAAGAAAAAAAAACCGTCTTGTTCCTCATTTCTTGTGTCATAAGCGACGTAAACAATAACAAGAACATGTGCGTTTGAGGTGGAACTTCTTCAGGCCGATTGTTACCAAGAAGAAAACATACAACATATAATACTACAATGTCCAAGATTTCACTCTTACAGAACAGACCTGATGGAAGCTTGAAAAAGAATCAAAATAAATCATCCTAATATAGACTTATTACTCACAGGCACTGATCTCCCACCAATAAAGAAGGACTACATTTTAAGACACACGAAAATATTCCTAAAGAAAACGGAACTAATAGAAATAATATAAAGAAAAGAAAGAAGAAAGGAAATAGATCCAGGGGATATAGACTAGACAATAGTCTAAAACCCAGTAAAAGAAGAAAGAAGAAGATTGTTTGCTGGGGAAAAAGAGTACAAATATATCCAATGTTTTTTCGTGAATTGATGGGTTTTTATGGCTAATTACAATGTTTTACGTGAATTGGTAGGTTTATATTGATGATTATGGAGCAGTGAGTATGGCGTTATGTTTTGTGTTTCGTCTGGATATCGTGTGGTTTAGATTTGTCACTGATTTTGATGGTTTTGTAATGACGTGTTCTTCCTCAAGTCAAAAAGGACTTTAGGTTCTGTTTTGATGAATATTTAATAGGATTTGTAGTTCACTGTTTAAATTTGAGATTGTAAACATGCTCTCACTTTATGATGATGGAGTGTATGTGTTTATAAATACCGTAGTTAAAGAGGGTTTGATGTTTTATGCCAAAATAAGGAGTCACTCTGCTGAATCAGAATGAGAAAGCAACTTCTGTGTGGTTTTCAAAGCTTGATTTGGGAGAAGAATCAATAGATATGTGAGTCTGAGCTGGAACAGGAGTCATATTTGTCTGTATGATTGATGTTTGGTACTAATATAGTTTAACTCATATGCTACTATGTTTATTCTGCAACAACACATGCTATTATGATGCAACAATAAAGAAAAACATTTATGGGTCATCTGAAAATCTCCCCCCCCCCTCCAGATTCACATGACTGAATCTGACAAGAAGTTCCTCACAACTGATTCAAAGGACACATTTACATTCCTTTTTGGCCTTGATAGCAACATTCAGTAATTTTGGGAGTGGTCAGGCCATGGAATGTTGGCACTCTTATCAGGATGTTATATCACATCAATGACTACAGGGTATTTCACAGTCCCTAAGGCATTAGCTGGATATACAGGGTGGTAAAGGATGCACTGAATTTGGTGGATCTAAAGATGTGTCTTCACTCAAGCATTGAAGTACACTAGAAAAGGCATAAGTTTTAGATGAACATAAGGAGAGACCTTTCTGCTCATATCATCCGAAGACTAGAATATCAGGAAAGATTTTTGAGATCATACTCTACTTATATTCACTTACAATACACCTATATAATCCTGTATGTAATAAACATGGGAATCAGTTATATGTTATTATGGTGCTCTAAATTATTCTGTGTTATTTAGCAAATCTATCTAATGCACACTTTGAGCCTTATGTTTTATATTTGGACAGTCAGTATGGGGAAATAGCTCACTTAACCCATTCGCCCCATGTGACAAGAATAGATGCCATACCCACTTTGATACATATTTATTTATTGTATTTATTCATAGATGGCTCCGCAAGTTCTTAATCACCAAATAGCCAATTATCAAGAACTACCTATTTCACCTCTTTACACTTTTCCTTCACTTTAGGAAAGGGTTTTTTGTATCATTTCATTGTCTAAAATATTCTAATGACAATTTAATAATCATAACATCAATAATAATAATAACAGTATCGATAGCAATGGTATTAATTTTTCCGCCAATTCAATGAATGGGAAAATCAGGGTCGGTAACTAGGGTCTACTGACAAACTCCTTGCTGGCTGAGCACATGTGGAGCCATCTGTATGTAACAAAATTCACCAAAAACTACAGGGGACAGAACATAAATCCTGGGCGAATGGGTTAAATACTCTATGGCAGAGATTTGTCACATGATAACAATATGTTTAAAAAGTTTATTTGAAAGATGAGATATCTTGAAATCAGATTTATTTCATCATCAAGTCTGAAGGTATGTGGAAGAGGAGATGATTTAAGAATGCAAATAGAGGAACACAGTGCAACAGAATGAAAAAATGGGACCTGCATCCAACCTGATTGTCCTACTTTACCTGTCTTTCTTTCATCTATACAGGCTTATGACTTATCTGTCCTGTGGTACCTGGCCTTTCCCTTTCCTTCTTTCTGTTGCTCTGATATTCCTCAATGCCATGTAAGATACATAAGTCTACTCTCCCTCTTCAGACCAACAGTAGGTATCAAATGGACATTCAGAACTGCCATTTCCTCTTTCAGATGAACTTGTTTAACAAATAATGTGCACATATTCATAGATTTAAATTGATCATATGTGTACATAACAAAGATTAGATACTCTTCAATCAGAATATTCTCTTCAATTCATGTTTTTCCGCATTTGTTTTTTATTTTTGTCTCATAAAGTTTATTTTGGATTTATAACATCTTATTACTACCAACAGAATTACAATGCAGTAAAAGAGAAAGCAGAATATTAATATACCAACAATGGACACCATTCTACAAGAGACAGTACCAAAGCTTTTTGGTGAAGATGTAAATCAGAAAGTAGTTAGAAGAATCAGTAAGGTTAGTAGGATCTGTTCCTATCTTCTGACTTACTTAAATGTGCATGTAAATGAAGGTTTGATACATTTTTACAATTAAAGAAAATTACAATGAATTATGAGAAAAATAAGAAAGTTATAAACATATTTGCTTATTTGGTTATAAAAGTTGATTGGTAGAATATTCCCTTAAGTTATTATTTTTTCTAAATATGATATTAAACATCTGATAATGTGTTTATTTGTTTGCTACTTTGTATTAACAGTATTTCTAAAACGGATAGGTTGTTTGATCAAGGTTGATGATTTTATATATATATGATATATATATAGTACCTTTTTTTATTACAACATTTATTTTTTCTAGGATCTGGAGAATCTAAAGGCCTCTGATCAGGAACTGCTGCTGGAGGAGATCAGTAGCAAGTTCAGAAAGTTGTTGAATGATGATCCTGATAAAGCACTTGTTACTGGTAGGTGTTTTAATCTCTATATGGCTCAATGTTATATGTCTCAAGAGTTTATAATGGTTAATAGGTATCTGCATTTCTGTCAATATATGTGTATATATAGATGCATACATACCTACATATATACATACATACAAACATACATACAAATACATACACACAAATGCATGCACATATATACATACACACAAATACATACACATAAATACATACACGCAAATACATACACGCAAATACACACACACAAATACACACACACACAAATACACACACACACAAATACACACACACACAAATACACACACACACAAATACACACACAAATACACACACACATGCACACGCACACACACACAAATACACACACAAATACACGCACAAATACACACACACGCACATGCACACGCACACGCAGAGTTTTCACTGATGATATTTAATTGCTGATTTTTTTCTTCCTTTAGCAACTTTGCTGACAGATGGAAACCACATTCTCAGGAGAGCTTTATCTCAGTGTGTAGAAGAGGTTCTTAAAGTTTGCTGTATCAAGATTGATTCCCTTCATGTTGCAGAATCAAGAAAACAGTCAGAATTTCACATTGCTGCAAAGGTATTTATATTAAGATTTCTTTTTTTGGGGGGAAGATCATATGTTCCAGATTTTCACAATAACTAATGGGAAATGTAGGTTTGTGTCAGTCTCTCCTTGCCGAATTGTATATCATGTTATATAGGCATATATGCAAAAGATGAAAATATTTTTTCTGTGTATTAAACTTTTTATTTTGTTGTTTTTATGTTTGTGATTTATATTTGTTATTTCATTCATTTTCCCACTCTCTTTCCCCAGGCAGTATATGGCATTGTTCAGTATGTTCTTCCTCTGGAAACTGGAGTAGTCGAGGACCTTGCATTACAGCACCAGTTGAAATCAGTTTATTTGTCGCTTCTCAGAGCAGTTGTCAGCAACAAGTTACCCTCTGACTGCAGCTTGATTGTATCAACTTCCTTATGCATTACCTCAGCTCTGCTTTGTACAGGGAATATGGAAATTAATTTCTTAAAGCTAATAAATGGTGTAATCCAAGCACAGACATGGAAAGGAAACTCTAAAGACAGTGATTGGTCTTGTCCTGATATAGAGATAGAGGAAGTGGCAGAATTCTGTAGAGAGATAACACCATCTTTCCCTATTGTTTTGATGTTTCATGGACTATTCAACTCAAATGCTGCTTGGTTATATTCATCTAAGGAGAGAGGAAGTGACAGTGAAACCAATATTCCATTCCTCTACAAAGTACATCCAGTTATCATGAAGATGTGTAGGTCTGCAGCAAGCTACACGTTTCAGGCATTTCAGGTAAGTTATGACAGAGGTGCTGTTTAGTTTAGTTGGCTTCCACGATGGTTATTCCAAATTATAAATGATAATGATAAAAAGATGTTTATTTATTTAACCATCAATATTTAGTATTAATAGCATTAAATGTTTTCAGCAGAAGTATGTGTAATTCATGGTCAATTATTCCACTTTAATGGCCAAAATGTGAGTGTTAAACTAGAGCTGATTTCAGATATCAATATTCTTGATCCTCTAGCTTAAGTATGAGATAATGATATCAGAGACAGAAGAATTATAGAATATAAACCACATTACATTATTTGGGGCAAAAGAAAAAAATAAAGAAGAAAAAAAAGAGAGATAAAAAAACAAACATAGGGGAGATCAGTACAATTATAATATACATGGGACTGATTTACTGCAATCTCAATATATGCTGTACAGATAGAAGATGGATCATTAATTCTAAATCCACAGGTGCTTCACATGTGGCTTATGTGTGTGAGGAAGTATGGTAACGTCTTTAAGGAAGTACAACACGATAAGGAGAGAAAAACAGGATGTAGTCTCGAGCAGCAACATCCAGCTTCCTGGTCAGTTTTCATGCTCCAGGCCGATGATAGCAATACTGTATTCCATCTTTTGAATTCTAACTGGGAAAATCCAGCTAAAGGTGAGTAGAAGTGAAGGTTAATGAGCTAAATATTTGGAACTGTTATTACGATGAGCGTTTGACTGTTTAAAAAAAAATTTCAGTTTGTTTTTCATTATCTTCAATATGCATCTAAGGGAACTGTCTTGTGGGTGAGTGTGTGTGTGGGGGTGTGGGGAGATTAAGGGTCCTGTAGTCAAAATTGAGATATGGCTGGCTTTAAGTAACTATACATATACAGAATATTAAGGCCCAGAAAATGTCCCTTCATCCTGTATTGTTGGTGCTTTGGCAATGGGTAAATTATGCATATGCTAGTGTCAGTAGCTTATTCAACTCTGTATATTATCACTCATATTTTTACAGGTGTGAGTGACGTTGTATACACATGCATGTCAGAGTTATTAGAGCTGCATGATGACAGACAATCTGGTCAGGCCAAAGTACTAGCCAGCAACATGTTAGACGCTCTTGTCAGTTCTGCGGCATGGACATCAAAGAGCACCTACCCACCTCTAGGCCTGGCCATTTCTTTTGTAGGGGCACAGGAGGTATGTTTGACTGTGACAGAGGGTCCTCAGTATGGATAGAAGTATTTTCCTCATGAATGAAACTGATTAAAGTTAAATAAAGTTTAATTTTTAGGGGTAATCTTGATTAAGCTCTTGAGATATAGTTTTGATATGTCTTAAAGATTCAACATTTGGTATAATTCATGTCTTCTTTTCTATCAGATTTTCTATTTAATAAGACTTATAAGCCTATCAGTTATATGAATGGATGAGTCAGGTGCTCATTGATGTTAAAAAACCTATCTGTGTTTATTTGATTTATATACATAACAGAGGCTTTTTTCCCCTTCAGGCCCTACAGCAGCATCCAGTATTACCAACTGGTCTGACAGAGTCCCTTAAGGTGAACCATCTGGCATCAGCTGGTGCTAATGTATACAAAATAGTGCTTAGCCAGTTATCTGTCCATGCTTGGCATCAGCATTTCCTCCATGTTATTTGTGATGGTTTACACAGCCAAGAAAGGTAACCTCCATCCAAGACTCATGATTGATCTAAATGCATAATATCTCTCTTGAAGTAAAATGTTCTGTGATGATAATGATCTGAACATATTTATGACAGTCCAGATGGCCAAAGAAGTTCATGTCATCTAGTAACACTGTAGTGCATTCATGTTTAAAAATATAGACCCAACTATTGAATGAACAAAATCAAATAATAAGATGTGTAGAAATTTACC